TAGGTAAGGGTCTCTGGAGACTGAAGGTTGAGCAGAGGAGTAGGAGACAAGGTGCAAGTCGTGTCTGTGGTGCAAGTTCGTTATCCCATTGGGGCCAAATGACCACAAACCCTGTTCAATTCTGTGGTGGAGAGGTAGTTGATGGTAGTACAGATATGGCCAAATAAGGTGCAAAATGAATACTTCAGGTGGGAAGATGTAATTAATTTTCTGTTAGGACCCACAATTCAACCCAGTCAGTTCCTGACATTTTCCTACTGTTGGGAACTGGTATTGGTTTGGTTGTGCAGCTCCCTATTCATATCTGGGAGGTGTAACAAGAGAATCTTAACATATGTCAGCCCTTTTTGATGTTCTTTATTCGCACCCATGCCCATGGCATTTGTGATAGAGGTTTTCCTGGTGGTTAATCTGACAGGCAGATCCCATCAGAGTTCAGGCTGCAAGCAGAACTGGAAGCAGCACCTGGCCCCTTGGTCTGCTCGCAGAAAATTTGATGTTCCTTGATGAGTGCTGCAGTGCTCATGCTGCAACCACAGCTGTGACCAGAGGCTGGTGTTCAGGCTGGTTTCTCCATAGTTTCAGCAGCTTTGTGGTAGCCTGGCAATGTGCAAAAGTGGTGAGGGCCTCTGATCTAATCTCTGCCTCCTGTCCTGCAGATATCATCCTGGCACACTACCAGCCAGTGGGCTTCTTGTGCCTGTCACACAGTGTGTGTCAGCCCCTTTTCGAGGAGCTTCTGCTACTGCTCCAGCCTCTCTCTCTGCTGCCCTTCAACCTCGACCTCCTCTTTGAGCACCACCTGATGCAGATGGGCAAAGAGCAGCAGCAGCAAAAGGAGCTGCTGCGTGTGAAACAGGACCTGCTGCTTTCGGCACACTCCACCCTGCAGCTGATGCGGACGCGGGGCAGCAGTGAGCATCCCGACGGCTGCAGCACTGCCCCCGCGGCGCGCAAAGCAGCTGCCACAGAGCTGTCACCAGGCCACAGCCCCGACCAAGTGGCAAGCGAGAGAGTCAAGGGGGTGGGAGCCTCCTGCGGAGATGGCGACAGGGAGGAAGAGAGGAGGACGGAGCGAGACAGCAGCTGGGAGGGCAAGAAAGACAAGCAGGCGGGCTGGTGGTACCAGCTCATGCAGAGCTCCCAGGTTTACATTGAGGGCTCAGCCGAAGGCTCCAAGCTGGTTCGCTATGAAAAGAAGAAGAAGGCCTCGAGTGCTGTGCCCAGGTCAGCTGAGACTCACAAGGCCCCCCCGCCCCGTGAAGGGGTGGTGGAGGGTGCGGAGGCCTGCCCCATCGCTGAGGGCACCTTGGAGGAGAGGCCCAAGGCTGCCAGCAGGCCAAGCCCCGAGGCTGGGGTGGAGCCCCCAGAGAAGCCCCAGCAAGCACCAGCCAGTGAAGAGGCCAAGGAACGAGGCTGGCCCTTCTGGATGGGCAGCCCTCCAGATTCGGTGCTCACAGAGCTGAAGCGCAGCAAGGAGAAGGAGGCCGGGACTCAGCAAAGACTGGGGGCAGCAGCCCCTCAGGAGGAGAGCAGCACCAGTGCATCGGAAGGCAGCCAGCCCATCAAGTGGGGATACTTGTTTGGGTCCAGGAAGGTGCAAAAGGAGCCTAGACAGCCCAACAGGTAAGGGAGACATGAAAGGCTTGGGGCCAAGGAGGGCTAGTTAACCTGGGATTGCTGCAGTGCAGGTGGGAGTCAGGCCACAGCCTTGTCCCTTGCTGCACTGCAGCAGTACATCAGCCCTGCGTGCTTTCATTCCACCTACACCACTGCTCCCTGCTCTCACCCTTTGTCTCTCCAACTCTTCATGACCTTGACCGCTGCCTACACTCCTAAGCCCCACTCTGGGGCGAGGTGGAAAGAGGCCTTTTGCAGGGGTGCTCCATCCCCATCATCACCTTATCCCTCCCAAAAGCAGACACTGCACATGAACGGGAGGTATGAAGTTGCCCGGTGTAGCTGGGGTGTGCACTCAGGGCATGAGCTTACCGTGGAGCAGCTGGCCCCTTTCTGTGGGCACAGTTCCCTGCCACTGCCTGTTTCTGTCTCCCTCTCACAGGTTGCCCTCTGGCTGGCTGAGCTTGGACAGGTCTGTGTTCCAGCTGGTGGCGCAGACGGTCGGGGCAAGTATGTGGCGAGAAGCAGCCCCTGAGCCGGAGCCCCAACGGACAGAGCCACCAGAAACGACACCTGAGCAGCAGCCACCTCAGGGGCTGCCTTCCAACCCTCCCTGGTGAGCGGTGCCACGTGGCCATCCTGCAGGGACCAGGGATGCAGTGCGTTGGGATTGGTGCTGCTTTGCGTGTTGAGATGTGTCTGGTCTCTTTTGCACTCCTGGACATGGGACAGTTCAGCAGTTTGCTCCTGTCCACCCCAACTCTGCAACCTGCAGACCAGGGGGCAAGGGGAGGGCTTTGTAGGCCCTGGGACAAAGCAGCCCTGGTCTGCTGGGTCTGATGGGGAGGAGGCAGAAGGATGGCTTTGCTTGCTGCTCTGTCACTGCAGAGGCTCTGGGCTGCAATGGGGGGAGTGCCCTGTCCCTGGCTAACCCTTTCTTCCCTCCCTCTGCCTGCAGCGAAGTGAAAGCTCTGTGCCACCACATTGCCACCGAGGCAGGACAGCTGAGCTTCAGCAAAGGGGACATCCTGCAGGTCATTTCCAAGGTGGATGGTGACTGGCTGCAGTGCAGCCTCGGCTCCGAGAGGGGACTGGTGCCCGTCATGTATGTCACCCACCCAGAGGACAAGGACTATTGACGTGGCTGGGAGGCTGAGCACAGTACCATGAGCTGCTGAGGCTCCTCTGGGGGAAGCCCAGCCTGCCAGAGGAACAGACACAGCTTCTTGCTAGTTTCTTACCCTTCTTGCCATTACAGAATACAGTAACCGTAGGTGGTTCCTTCCTGCTCCTCGTCGTGCAGCTGCCAAAGGCCTCCTCAGCCCGCGGGGCCTCCTGCCAGCTGCATCCCGTGTTGCCAGGCGTCGCCGTGCATGCAGCCACACCAGGGACCGTCCGAGCCCCCTACACCTCACGCCATCTCCAGCATCCATAGGCCGTGAACTTGTACATAGCAGGAATTCAAGCAGTCCCTGCCGGACTGCCCGGCACTGCGCCACGCTGAAGGGTGCAGGGTGCTGGCTGTCCCCTCCCTGGGGGTGGCAGTGCAGCCTGCAGCCTTCAGCACATGTGGCATCATCAGCTGCAGAGGTGGGAGCGCTGTGTCTTGGCAAGGTCTCTGCAAGGCTCTCCCGTGGTGACAGGCTGCGCTGCGGATTGAGGGGACCATAAGGTAGGCTCCCCCGCTCTAGAACCTGTCCTAAGCGATAATAATGACGTGTCCCGTGTCGTACCACATGGAGAGCTCGTGTCACACGGCTCAGGCATGGCTAGGTGGCTGCCTGGGGGCCTGCCCCAGTGCAGGGCTTTGTGCCTGGCCATGGCTCGGGGAGGGGGAAGGGGTATGTGTGTGTGTTTGGGGCAGGCGTTGTGTGGGGCTGTGAGGAAGGCGCGTGAATGTTGGGGATTGTGTAGGTCCTGGGCGGAGATGGGTGTCCCCCATGTCCTCCATGCTGGTCAGGGAGCCAGTGCCCAGGATGTCCTGGGATGCTCAGTGGAGAGCAGGGGATTTGGAGGGGAGGGGGTGAAGAGGGGGTCCCTGACAGGGCTAGGGATGCTCTTTGGAGAAGGGGGCAGTGCTCCCGGTAAGTAGAGCAGGGAGGGTGCTCCCAGAGGGAGCAGGGGAGAGCGGGTGGGAGGGATGGTGTTCCCCATGGCGTAGGGTCTTGCCCAGCAGCGCTGTGGGGKGGGGTGGGGGGTGAATGGGCCCATAATCGTGCACAAGCACAAGGGGCTGCTGGGGGGGCCCGGGGTCCTTGGCAGAGCCAATGCCAGCCAACCCCTTCCTTGCCATGTCCATGCTGCCCGCTGGTGGGGAACAGTGTTAGTGAAAGGCCGTGCCAGTATTCGGTGCCTTGGCCGGGGTGGCGCTGCTCGTGGTGTCAGGCCTGGGCTGGCTTCCCCGTGGCAAGGGACCCTGGTCTTGCAAGGTTACCTCCTGCTTGTACATCGCTTAGCGGACGTTGCACCATACTTAATTTGTATTCCCCAGTTAGAACAAGGTGTCTCGCCTTTATTTATTTCTTATTTATGATGCATATTAATAAAAAAGGTGCTGATTGAGCTCCCAGCTGGTATGCAGCCTTGTGATTTCAGCCTGTCCCTGGGGAGGGACCGAGGGGGACCTGTGCTGGGTCACCGCTTTGGAGGTTTCATCCTGTCTCCAACCACAGCCAACACCAGACCTGGAGAGACCCAGATTGCCCCCAGCTGTCCTTGGCTCGCCACAGACCATGTGAGAGGGAGGCTTTGGTCCCCAGCCATCCAAGATAACAGATCCAGTCCCTGTATTATCCAGTTGAAGTGCAGAAGCAGAGATTCTTTCCCCACTCTTGTGGTCTCTTCACAGACCCCATCAGGATGTGGCTGCCCCTTTCCTTTCTCTGCTGCCCTGAATAACCCTGTGTGTTTTTGTCTTCTTCCAGCTCTGGCAGTGTTAGCCCAGTGGTGCTGTACAGAGCTGGAGACCCTGTCAGCTCTCAGGGCAAGGAAGAGGGAACTGGCCCAAAGGGGCACCGCTCCTGATCTTTTACCATAAACCTGTCACCATCTGGGATAGTTTGTTCATGCTGAAAATGAATTGCTTTGACTTGTTGGTTCAGCCTGAGCTGCTGACTGTGCTGCCTCTCACTGGGTAGGACTGGGGTGACCCACCCTGGAGACTGCAGCATCCCCTCAAGGGAGGTTCCTGCTGCACGGTGAAGCATTAGTGCACCAGGACACAGCCCTGTGTAAAGCAAGAAGGGCTGCAAACACCTTTCCATCCTGCATCACGCATCAGGCAGCGTCGTTTGGGGTTGCTCATTTTTATTCCCTTTGCACGCTTAGGGGGAACCCAAGCAGGTTTAGGAAGAAGTTGAAACTATGTCCTACCAGGATTATTAGTCTGGCAGCTGCTTCTCCAGGGTGCTCAGTCCCAGGGCGTTGTGAGTAAGGTGACCGTAAGTATGACCAAACTGGAACTTGTAACCTGTGGCAATAAGGAGGAAATCCTGAGTAGTATTGGATGGGAGGCAGTGGGGAGAATGTGCTGAGCATGGGCCATGGGGCTGAGAGCCAGAGCCTGGGACAACCTGGCTGTGAGACTTGCTGGCTGTGACCCACCGCACACATAAGAGCTCTGGGACATCTGAAATTAGACCAGCTACAGCACAGGATCTGCGCATCCTGCAGGAATGAGCCCTGGGAACCCTTTCATTTTTGTTTGCACACAGTTAGCTCCAGTAGAAGCTCCAGCTGCTACTGGAGGGAATGCTGAGTCAGGCGTGTGGCAGGACGCACAATGTCCATCAGCCTGTGCACTACTACCAGGCACACCAAGAGGCAGCGTCCATCGGCCTGTACGCTGCCACCAGGCACACCTAGTGCCAACTTTGCCCACGCTTACAACGATGGGGTGTTTGCTGCTGAGGGTGCTTCATGTCTGCTGGGCCACAGCTGAACGGTTAGAGCATGAGAGACTGGTTTGGGGGTTGCAGCTAGACCCTTGTGGTCCTTCCATGCCTGAACACTCTAGCTAGATTTAGAGGAGCCTACTAGGGTGGAAACCAAATTCTCCGGAGGGAAGGTGTGTGTCCATGGCCGTTTGCTGTTGGACACTCACCTGGGACGTAGCCTGCGTAGCGAGGTAGCAGGCCCGTCTCCGTGGGGTAGGTTTTTCCCAGGGGTGGGAGGATGGTGCTGCCTTCCTTGGTCTCGCTCCTGCCACCTCTCTTCAGGGCCATCTGGCTGAACTCCAGCAGGGCCCGGTTGGTGGTGACGGGGTAGCTTTTCCCGATCAGGAACCGGGCACGGGGCACGAAGCCCGTGAAGCCTGCAGAGTGACAGGACATGTCCCGTAACAAGGCCAGCACTGGCTGCGAGCAGCCCTCAGGTGTCCCCAAACCACCCAGGGGGCACCTGGGGGTTGTCCTGGACCCTTCCCATGCCCACCTAGCACCCCCTCCAAACACGCAATCCTAGGGGATACCCAGAGCCCATCCAGAAGGACAGCATCCCTTTCCCACCTCCCCGGCGGCCCAGGCCTTGCAGCCTCACCTGAGATGAAGTATTTCTGGGGGTCGTCATCCTCCATGGAGTAGGCACGCGGGCCAGGGGCTGCCACCGCTGCTGCTGCTGCTGGGGCTGGGTGGCCCTGGTGGCAGCCCGGTCCTGAGGGCTCCTCTGAGGGATCCTGCAGGGACATGGGGCTGGAATTACCACGGGGGCAGGCTCGGCTGGGCAGGGAGCCGCTGGTGCTGCCGTGCCCTGGAGCAGGCCCTGTTCTGGGGAAGGTGCCTGAGCTGGCACAGGGGGCTCAGCATCCCTCAGCACCCCCTCAGCAGGGACCTGGTGGCAGAAAGGTGGGCGCTGTGACGCGCAGGTGGAGATATCAGGAGGGATGGGTGCTGGCTGCTGACCCCAGCTCACGTGCCCACTCCTCGCTGTGGCCATGAAGTGCTGTGTGCCAGGGGTGCGGAGCAAGGTGGGGGACAGCCCTAGAGCCACGGTGAGATACCCACGCGCTCCAGCCCGTCTCACATCACGTTCCTGTGCAGGGCCCTGCGGCAACGGCTGCGTCTTCAGCCAGGCCTGCTCCGTGCCAGCAGCTCTCAGCCTTTGCTTAGCAAAGTCGCTCTTGGCCTCCTTGTAGATCTCGGAGAAGGTCTTGGCAAAGAAGTGCTGGCTTCTGGGGATGAATCCTGGGAGCAGAACATCTGACATGTAGGAAGCAATGAAGAGCACACCGGCATGGTATGGGGCCTGTCCAAGGCAGTGGGCAGGGCTGTGGTACCCAGAGGTGGGGGAGGTAAAGGCATGGGGTGAGAACATGGCTTTGAGGGTGCCAAGAGTGCATGGCACATGCCAGAAGAACACAAGCCAGCTCAGAGAGGAAGGTCTGCTAGTGACCAGGGTCCTGAGGGATCTTCTCTGCAAACCTTTGGGTCTGCCCTGGGAAACCATCTCGTGGTTCCTGCTGTGCTTCACAAGGACAAGCAGCTGGGGTGCTACTACAGGTAGGTGGGTGCCACAGATCATCTCCTGGTGCCACGACGGCCTCCTCGTACCTGTATACCCAGGGATGACGATGGAGCTCAGGGGCTGAGCCTCTGCCTCCGCGCAGGCTCCTGGCTCTCCCGGCAGGTCTGGGAGCTCAGTGCTTCGGCAGGACCAACGGGTCGGCAGCAGCACCAGCTGGCTGGGACGCGGGACCTCCAAGCTGCTCCGGAGCTGCCACGTCTGCTGCCCGTAAGTCTTGCCCATGCTGAACTTGTAGCGAGGGCAGTAACCAGTGTAGCTGCCGCGGCGAAGTGAAAGCGGGCCCAAGGTTGGGAGAGTTGCAGGGGCAGAGCTGAGGCCTGGCACTGTGGCATCGCCAGGCTCATGTGAGCTGCTGTGCTGCAGCTGCGGGGGGGTGTGCCCAGCTCACCCTTGGACAGGCAGGGAGAGCTGGGATGGGGAGGAATATGGAGAAGGACACGCGGGGAGAGCTGGGATGGGGGTGCACATTTGGACAGGGCAGGCACAGAGAGCTGGGATGGGGCTGTACATTTATGCAGGAGAAGCAGGGATGGATGAGATGGGGATGTACATGGGGCAGGACAGGCAGGGAGAGCTGGGATGCAGATGCACAGGGACACAGGATCCTCCCAAGCACAGGGGGATATCCACATCTCACTTCCGTGCACCAACCTCCCCATTTGGGGAGAAGCTGGAAGCCACGGGGTGCATCCCCATGTAGCTGGTCTCTCCCACCTGGAGCTAACGGGCCGTGGGACCCACACTGGGCAGCACAGAGCAGCCCCGCCAGGCACTGTGAGCACCTCTAACCCTGCCTGTCTTCCATGCGGGCCGCAGGGACCTGCCCAGCTGCTCCTGGGTGTCCCCAGGAGCCGGGGCGCCTCTCCCGGCTCACAGTGCCTGTGGGCAGGGGCAGCTCCGTGGGGCACTGGGGGGGCCTGGCAGCGGGCACAGCCTCCCCGCACCACCTCGCTCCCGGCCGCAGCTCTGGCTGTGCATATGGGCAGTATGGGTTGCTATGGAGGCCTCTGTACACAGCGGCGCTGAGAGCTGCCGGCTCGCGGGGCCCGGGAATGCTGCTGACGGCGTCTCCCTCCCTTCCCTCCATCAGGAGAAACAGGCACCCTGTGTGCCCGAGAGGCGGGCCAGGGCGGGGAGCCCAGCGGTGGCGGGACCAGCTGGCGGGGCCATGGAGGCGTGTGGGGCTGGAAGCGGGAGCAGCGTCCCGTGGTGCTGGGCAAGGGCAGCGGCAGCCGGCGGGAGCCTTGTGGGCCTCGGAGTGGAGCCCTCCGGCCAGGAAAGGGGCTCCTTGCACCGGGGCACAGCTGCCCCCCAGCCCTGCTCCCCTGGGGCCGCAGTGCTCACCCCGGGATGTAGTGGGGCTCCGGAGTCACCAGGACCTGGCTCCTCTTCGAAGCAAAGGCTGTGGCCATGGCTTGCAAGGCAGGACCCTGGCAGCTCCCTGGTCCAGAGCAAAGCAGTGTCGATAGTCAGGAATCACTGTGGGAGCCGGAGGGCAGGACGAGTGCCAGGAGCTTGAGACTGGGAAGGGAGGAGCTTCTTGAGCACCAACAAAGGCCATGCAGCCTTGGCAATAGTCTGGGAGGACCAGGATGCACGTGGGGCAGGGCAAGAGCTGGGATGGAGAGAGGCATGATCCGATGGGATAGACTGGGAATGCTGGCAGGGGGATGCACTCAGGGCAGGATGGCACCTTCAGGAGTGGCTGCAAGGCCAAGATGATGGAGCTGCCTCTGGAGGGGCTCTGTGTGGCTGGGCCAGGTGTGATAAACAGCATCAGAGGAGAGACCTGTGATTTTCCAGCACAGGTCATGGGAGAGCAGAGGTTGTCTCATCAATCACGACCCCACAGCAGCAAGCAGGACTGGCAGAGGACAGTAACACTGTCACATCACAGTGACTCAGAGGCATCCGGCTGAAAACAAAGCTGGTATCACATTGACACGGCACCTACTGAAGGCACTGCAACACTGGGGGAGCGTGATGAGAAACACAGGCTCATATCCTGCTGGATCAACTCCTGCAAGAGCTGCGGGCAGCGCTGAGCTTGGATGGCAACAGAGGACAGATGCCAGAGGAGTCACCTCCCCGGACCCTCATCAGCGTGACCCCACTCACAGCAGCAGCCTGGACGTGTTGAGGCAGGACACTACAGTCGGATACTCTGTCTGGGATGCACAGGACAGGATGGGGTGATGGTAATAACCAATCCAGCTTGGGACTCAGCTCTGAAATCAACTGCTGACACAGAGATTTCTAGTCTTTTTGCTGACTCCCTCTGCACTTCAGTTCCTGCAAATGCACAAAGAAACCCAGGGTGTTTTCTTTACACAAGCTTTAGCAGCAGCATTTCCACAATGCCCACAATTGGCTTTCGCAGTCCAGGGCCCCTCTGTCCCCTTGTCACCAAGCCCATGGGACACCCTCACTTCGGGGTAGGAGCCAGCCAGCACAGCAGCAGTGAAGCAAGAAAACCCAAGCAGCAGCCACCAGCACCGCAGGCACCGGTCTGCACATCAGCAACCCTGGTCCTTGGATGGCAGCGCAGGGGAGCCTTAAAGCTCCCTTAAAGAATCCTTCCTTAAAGAAATCCTTCCTTAAAGAAGGATTTGAAAGGCTCCAGCCCTTAGCGGAGCACATCGCACACTGCTGTGCATGGGAGCAATCGCAGAGCTCCAGCTGCAGGCAGGAGCCCCGTTTGCAGGGAGCAGAGGAGCCACATGGAGAGAACGGGTGAGCTGGTGATGTTTGGCTGGCACTGAGCTGTAGCCTTCACCTCACAGCTCACTCCAGGAGTCATTTGCTTCAGCTGCACACAGGCATTAATTATCTCAGCGCCAGCCCAGCCCAAACGGGGTGGTGGCCCAAGGATGTCCAAGGTGATGGGCTCTCCTGGGAACAGGCTGACTGATGGTGACAAGAGCAGGGTTTCTGATGACAGCTTCAGAGAGAGCACAGAGCAGCCCCAACACAGTGGAGGGAAGAGATGATGAGACCTTCAGACCAATTGCCCTTTCTCTAAAGTGTGATATAAGGTGAGCCCATTGAGGGGACCTCAGCTTTAGAAGAGGGAGGCTGACTCCTCTGAAGCACAGATACACTTTGGGAGAAGGAGATTCCAGCCAGAAGGACAAAGCAGGGTGTAGCACTAGTGCTCTCAGTCTTGAAGGAGCTACATAGCCGGTTTGTAGTATCAGAGCAAAGCAGAGTGTTAGCTGGTGGCTCTTCCACACGTGCCAGAAGTTCAGGGAGGAAGAGGATAGGGAACTGAGCATCATACAGGACTTGGATAAGCATGTTCTCACCAAAAAGCTGTCTGCTGATGACCATCACAATGTACTTTGTTTCTGTGGCTCTGTGCAAGTGCCAACGTCCAGTGCAGCCTTGTTCAGCTTCGGAAAGGGGAAATGCATGAAATGAGGAAGCTTGGATAAAAACAAGGCTAAACAAAGCAACGAGGTCATACGGTGTCCAGTAAGCCTGCAAAGATTCAAGGCAATTTTTCCGGGCTCCTGCTGCAGCCTGGTATCAAGTGGCAAAGGGGAGGCTGCAGGGCCAAAGAGGAGCAGAAGCAGAAGGGTCCCCTTCAAAGAGCTGAAGCCAAATCTGGATGAAATATATGGAGAGATATAGGAAATATATAAAGAGATTATATAGATATAAGTACACTAGCCTCAAGACTTGTGAACCTATGGTCATGCAGTGCCCATCCCCACTCAGAGCGGAGAAGTGACCTCCCATGGGTGGCTACAGCTCTGTGGAAACTGTCTCCAATGCCAACGTGCTGGCGAGGGAAGTGGTGAGCAGCTGTGCTGGAGGTGCCCTGCATTGCCCAGCTGCTCTTCACAGGTGCTGGGGGTGGCTGCTCTCCCCGCTCCTTGGAAAGCCCTGGCTGCTCCTCTCTGCAGCTCCTTGCACTGCAGCAAGTGCCAAAGCCATCTCGGGGCATGTCTTGGCCTGCAGAACTGTCTTGCAACAGCCCCCGTCCTTGTGCAGAGCCCGGGTTATAGTCAAGGCTGGATTTTCTGACGCACTGCGAGGGGAAGAGTCTGGATTATGGTCAGGGCTGGATTTTCTGATGTGCTGCAAGGGGAAGTATGAAGAGAAAGAATGAGCGAGCGCACGAGGTTCCCAACAGCTACTTGAGCCGAACTTCTGCTATGGGATTTGAGGTTTCGGATGGGGTAATGAAGGGCTTTTGACGATGTCACACTGTTTTCATGGGTCTGTCCTGGCAACCACTGCACTGGGAGTGTCACACAGAGCCACTGGGACTGTTTTTTTCAACCTTGTTTGGTTTATGGAACTCCTCTAGCTCTTTTCCAAAGACTCCCAAATGGGGAAACTCTTCCTCCTGGTGACGTTTGCTTTCCTAGCCCCTTGTGACCCGCTGTGCTGAAAATCCCCAGTGTAGACTTGCATCCCAGCACTCTGTGCTGCACCGTGCCACTGCTTGCAGGTCCAGAACGTACCCGGGGAGCCCCTGGCCCTTCTGCCAGGGCAGCATGTGCCGAGGAAAGGGAAACGCTGCCCACGTTAGCTCTGCGTCTGAGCAAAGGAAATCGAAAGGCAGGGCCCCATCCTGGGTAGCAGCTCTATTGCAAGAAGAGGTGAAATACTGCTGGGAAAAAGGAGACAGAAGTTGCACTTCTGAGTGTGTAGAGATGAGAAGGAGGTGTCCAGACAGACTCCAGCGCCATCCCTGAGAGGAGCTTGGCTGCTGGAGCTCCTGCCCCAAGCTGCATTGCTGAGGAAGTGCCCAGACTGGGCTTCTACAGTGCTTTTCTCAAGGTGGGACTTTGGGGGCTGCTGGGGACGAAGAGTCTCTGGAGAGGGGGGTCTTCCTGCCATAGTGTACCCTGCTTGAGCAGGAGGGTTGGACTAGAGGATCTCTAGAAGTCCCCTCCAACCTCAACCATTCTGTGATTCTGTGCAGGGCTTGTGGGTCAAGTGAAGGATGCGCCTCAGTACAAAGCCGAGCCCAGCACCAGGTTTGGGAGCACTGGACCCTCCCGGAAAGCACAGAAAAGAAGTCTATCACAAGGGGCTGCCGGCCCTTCTGGGAATGTGTGGGCAGGGTTTCAGGACTTGCTTTCTCCCCAGCTATGCACTTCAGCTGGGGCATGGACCAAGCAGCCCTGGCAAGAGCTACTAGGCAGCCTAGAGCACAATTTAATCAATTGCTGCCCTAGGCCATCTCAGATGGTTTGTTCACTGCTATGGTCAGATCCACCAGGCTCCACCACAGGGACAGCCTCAATGGCAGCCCCTTCCCTACTGCTCCGTTCCCAGCTCTTCCTGCCCTTTCTCCCTCTCAGGGTGTCCCTGTGACACATCCAGCATTTGTGCTCCCAGGCCTCAGGACATCTTTACCCTGAGCATCTGCCTTCAGCCCATTCTCAAGCACCCAGGTTTGGTTTTCTGCCAAAACCTTGGTGCCCTTAGGGATGACTAAGTCCTCCTGTGCACTTTAGGGACCCTTGCTTCACAATCCCTCCAAAGTTCTCAGGTAGTAACAGGGGGAAGGTTGTCCTGACAGCCTCACGTGGTTTCCACATGGCTTTTCCACACAAGCGTGCAAGTTGCATGTTCCTGCAAAAGCCCAGGTCTGGAGAACTATGAACCAGCAATGTTCATACGTCCTTCTCAGACCTCTGAGATCTGTGCAGAGAGCAAGCATGCCAGCTATTGCGGCTGGTGGTTGCTCCTGTGTAAAAGGCTGAAAAACAGGCACTTCCTTGAAGACGAGAGCTCCAAGAGATGTGAGATAGGCAGAAAAAAAGGAGAGTGAAGCTGCCTGTTGCCCCAGCACAATAGAGAGAAGACTGAAAGCAGCACTGACACTGGTGGAGGTTCCCTCTCCAATGAGGAAGCGTCTTGCACCACATGCAATTTCTCTGTGTGGCTGCTTCCTTTCCGTGCTTGCACCTCTCGCAATCAGACGGGTGAACTGAGAGGTTGCGAGGGGCCTGAGACCTCAGCCGTGCCCTGGGACTTTGGGCGAACATGGCCCCGATATGGGCCTTTCTCCTGGTTCTTGCACCTCTGCTGGCTGCCTGGGAGCAGGATGAGCCTGGAACTGACATCCTAGAAGAAGCCGAGGAAACAGGTAGGACTTGACTTGTTTTGTTGCTTTGGTAAAACATGAAGGGGTTTTACTGCTCCTCTTTCCATTGGTTTGCAATGAGTCTTTCCTACATTTAGCTCGGAGCAGCTGTGCTGGAGCTACAGTCCAAGTCCCAAGATAGTCCAGCATCAGTCGGATAGCGCTGGGGTGAAGCTGTGTTTGGGGGTGTAGAGCAGCAACCCTCAGCGGGCCAGGAAAGCCTCCAATAACGTGGAGGCCATAATGTTCTTCTGGAGAGCGGGCACTATCTCCATGAGCAGGAGTGCTTGGCTTTCCCCAAGACTGTCAGAGCAGCGTCCTCATCACAAGGGTGAGGGGTGATATTCCTCAGCAAAGCCCTCCGGAGCTGTGCCCCGAGTCTGTGTTGGTGGGGAAGTCTGCTCTCCACAGAGACCTGCGATGCAGCAGCAGCAGTTCAGGGGGACTGCTCCTCAAAAGGCTTCTGCAGACCCAGAGGGGCCAAGGGAACTTCCCAGGGCTCTTCCCATCTTCCTATGGAGACTGCATCTTGTCCCCTGTGCATCCATAGTGCTCCCTGTCCCAGGAGCTGGAAAGCCAGAGACGGACTCACATTCTCTGCGGAGAAACCTCAGGTACTTGCTGTGACAGTGGGCACATGAGTCGCCCTGCCCATTGCTGGTGGCTGGAAGGATGTTGCCCTCACAGCAAGGAGCAGCTCCGGGGAGACCTGGGGTAGGGACAGACCGACACGGTGAGCATGGAGCACGTGTCTCCCCAGGTGCAGGCACAGGTACCTTGCAGCCGGGCTTGCTTTCTTAGAGTGCGTCAAGGTTGTTTTGCCACTTCCAGCATCTATCAGCCACACTGGAGGAGGAGGCTGATATTCACATCCAAGCAGAGTCATTTAATGTGTTTCTGCAGGGCTGAGTGTTGTAGGACCTACCAGGAGGCCGGTGAGACAGTCCAGCTTGGCTCGGTGGGAGTGACGGGCTCAGCGCCTGGGGCTGTGACCCTGTGTTGTTCTGCATGTGCCTGAAGCCAAATCTTCCTCTAAACTAATCTTTATTAGGCTAGGTGACAAAATCATGACATTAGCAGCTGCTCACATTTTCCTGACTGGCTGTGGGGATGTCTCCGGGTTGACTCAAGTTTAAAAAAGGAGCTGATCAAAGGCCCTGGCTGCCACCGAGACCTAGGAACAGGACGGGGATATTTGCTTGCCGATTTGAAGCTGCAAATGTGTGCTGTGGGACATAGACCACGTGTCCTGTGGGACACAGACCACGAGCACCTCAAGCTCATTTTCAGATAGAGGTGCCCGGTGGCTGCAGCGACCACAAGTGCAGTGATTTGTCACTCGAAAACTGAGGGCTGGCCTGCAAGGCAGGATCCTGCCCATGGTGGCTTCCCCTCGCCCCTCTCCTCTGCAAGGAGACCTTGCAAGGCCAGCGAGTGCAGGTCATGCGTTGCTGGGCTCTGCAGCCCACAGGCACAGCACACAGGGGCTGGCACCTTTCTGCAGAGACGATGAGGAGCTGGGAACCCTCATCGGGCTCTTTGCAATCCTGTTCCTGGATGTCCTAGGAGGAGCCCGTGGCTGGTGCGGTAGAGACAGCACTGCTGAGCTGGCACCTCTGTGTGTAAGAAAAGAGGAACCGAGACACGCAGCAGCTGCAGCCAGCGGGGCAGGCAGCCCTGCCTGCGTCCTTGGCACGTGGGCTCGTGCCATGCTGGGCACGGGGCTCGGGCTTCATCTCGCTGAGGACAGACCTTTGGCAGTGGCCAGGAGGGTCTCAGGGTCCCCTGGGGCAGAAGAACTCTCCATGGGGCAGTGCAGCAGGGCCAGGCAATGGAGCTGGGAGGCAAGGAAGCAGGACATGGCCTAAGACCCCTTTCCCAAATGTCCTTTAGCATTTCCCATGACCCTGGCAGATGGGAGGGACGATGAGGGAGAGGGGACCATCCCTGTGCAGATGAGCTTCTCCCATTGCATGATGCTGCCCCATAGCAGAGCTCCCACATGCTGGGCCCTCCTGTCCCCCTGTGTGTCCCCATTGCCAGCGCCGGTTCCTGAAAAGCAGCAGACATCACTATAGTGTCAGGGGTGAGCACGGGGACGGGAACAGGGATCGAGGCAGTGCCACGGGCTGCGCGGGACCTGGAGCCCACAGTGTCTTGCCAGGGCAGGGCGAGAGTTGCCGGCAGCGTACGTGGTGCCAGTGGCGCGAGGAGCGGCAGGAAAGAGGCGAGCAGCTGCAGGGGAGGATGTGGTCGGCGCGTGTCGCGCAGGGCAGGCCGGGACAGCGCTGCTGTCACCCGGCAGCAGAGCCGCGGGAGGCGCTTTCAACAAGGCGCATTGTTCTGTGTTTCCTATTGTCTCGCAGCGTTTTCACCCCCTGGGTTTTCCCACTTGTATAAGATTGCATCCCCTTACAAACTGGCGAGCCTCAGAGGGAGGTGGAAAAGCTTCTGGGGAGCTTCTCTGCAGGGGCAGGGTCTACTACCCACGTTATGCCGGCTATCCTAGCCCCTTTCTCATCAGTCTTACTTGACATTTTGCAGGGATTCATTAGCACCTAGCAAGGAGTCCTAATGAGGATCACGGGTGATTGGCAGGTCCGTGGGTATTACCTAGAATAAGGTCACACTTGCACTGGAAGACCTTGTGTCCCACCCTGGCTGCGAACTGTGTGCTCCAGTTCTTTTTCTACCTGTCACCAGAGTACAGACTCAGGAAATGATTATCTCACTGGCTATTCTTAAGACTGTCAAATGTCCCTTTGTGTGGCAGTGTAGCAAATGTTAAAGTGCTGCTGCTCCCCTTGCCCTTCTGCAAAGCCTGGTCCAATGCCCTGCTCTATCATGCCTTCTCCTCGGTGTCTCTCGCATGTAGAGCAGCCCCAAGGTCTATCCCGCTGCCCATGGCACTTGAAGGCTCTTGCAGCAGCTTTGGATGCGTGAGCAGCCTGGCAATGGTCGAAGAGCCAATGCACATGTCCCTGGGCACTTACAGTACCGCTTTCCGCTAGGGATAACGGTGGTGGCTTTTCTTAGCTCGTGTCAGTAAACGTGTAGTATTAGATGCAGGGTAGACTCCAATGCCAGTAACACGCCAAGAATACTGCAGGAATCTGACCCAAATAACCAGAATAGCAATTTCTGCTTTCTTCTGATCTTCCATGACATCCTCTTCTAGGGCGTGCTGGGGCTTTGCTTTGCCTGCCAGACTCGCTGACTCCTTTGCAGCAAGCACAAACATTCTGGATGTCTTCTCTAAAATGCTTAGTGTATTCACAGGTTTTAAAGCATAATAATAAGAATATTCACTTGATAGTATCAAAGGAAGAAAAACATAATAGTTGTCTTTGGACTACATTGGGCAGATGCATTAACCTTTTATCACCACTCCCGGGTGTGGTGATATTTTCCGTTTTGCAATGAGCACATGTTTCACATTACGAGAGGTGTGTGTTTTGTCACATCTACCCCATATTTTCCACACTGAAATTTCACTCGTCTCAACCTCTTTCCTCTACTTGGGGGTAGAGAGGCCTGTGAGCAGCTGTTTCCATAATACAGTGCATATATTTAAAAAGAAAAAAAGGCTTTGGGTGGCTATTTCTTTGCTCCCTGGGATGGCATTAGTCCCTGTGATGCCGGAGGCCCTGCTGGGTGTTTCTTTCTGATCTCCCTTAAGCTGCAGTGCCCAGACCACCAGGCGAGGACACGCAGTGTTGCTCTGCTCTGCACACCGGGTGGAACTGGTGTGATCTGACTCTCCCCCACGCAACTTCCCATGGCTGACGGCTCTGCAAAAGAGTTCAAATATCTGCACTGGGATAGAGCCAAGGGTCCTCTGCTCCAAGGATCTCAAAAAAGTGCAAGGAGGAGGATGATTATAGCAGAACAACCACCCTTCAGAAACAGCCACAGGTAGCCGACATTGATGGGAGGTCTGAACCAACCCTGGGTGAAACCCCAGGCCCTTCCCGTGTGAGCAAAGGAAAGGGGAAAGTTGCTGACACCCCTGGTATAAGGTTAGGGTTGATAAGGGTCCTGAGTTAAGAGAAGTGATTGCCTGGAGTCTCAGCAAAGGGCTGGTCAGAAATGTGTCACCAGCTAATCCAGCCCAGGGAGTCCCTTCACATTCCCCCAAACCCAGAGAGATCTGCATAACAACTACTCTTAAATGAATAACAAAGAGTTGAATCAATCTATCGCCTCTTTGGCTGCTGAAGGCTAAGCAGCCTAGTGTGGACTACACCTACTTCTGGCCTATGGAAGTTCTGCCTTTTAATAAAGAGGAATAACAAACTTTAAATACAACATAGTTCTCCTTTGTGCCATGATAAGTTGGCACTGTGTTACATCCCTGAAACAACAATTGCAAGGAGAAATTTTAAAACACTTTAGAGCAATTTTAAAACAATTTAAAAAGTGTTTTTAAAGGCTGCAAAGGCTTGGGGAGCCTGTTGCAAAGGCTTGGGGAGGCCAGGGAGCAATGCTGCACTCTAGTATATGGTTTCAACCCCCCTGCCCAGCTGGAATAGCATCGATGTTGGTAGGAAGACACCTCTCAAAACCTGCGCTGTGTCAGCACCCTTTCCCTCCTGGCTTCCAGCCCAGCAGGTTGCCGTGTCCTGTGTTGCTTGCAGTGTTCATGCTGCTGTTGGGGTATATAAATCACACAGCATGTGCCATTACAAAAAGAAAAGTGAAGGGATCCCTTAGAGCTGAAGTTCAGGACTGGGGGCAGCCTGGTGTAGACCAGCTTAGCCACGAACTCTTGCACTCGCTTGGGCTCCCGCAGTTTGGTCAGGGATGATTCCACTGGCAGGATTTCCTTTCCTCAAATTGCTTGTTGCCAGAAGCCAGGTGCCGCGGACCTCTCCACAAGCAACGATGGTTCATGTTTATGCAGTGACACAAAACCAGGAGGATCCTCACGGCTGCACAAACCTCGAGCAGAAGCGATCTCAGCCCCTGAAATGCAAAACGGGAGACATTTTTGCAGCTGGCTCTCATCTGGATGAAAGCACGGCTGCTTGATTTACCATTTTGGTGGCATTTCCTCACATTTACTTGTTACAGATACAGGGCTTTTATTCTGGCTGAGGTTATGCAGATGTTGTGGTCTGCTGGCGCTTTGCACCAAGAGTGCAGAGCAGTTTAACTGTGAGCCTTAGTGGTGTTTATGTATATTATGAGGCAGGGCAAGATCACAGTCTGCACCTAGAAAACCTTTGCCTTGTTATAGACAGATCTATTAGACAAAGAATGCTCTTAGGTGAATTCCTTATCATTACATGAAAATTGATATGTCAGTAGAGAGACACAAATTAGTGTCATAAAGAGATAGCACCATTTCTGCGTAGAAACTAATAAGTAACTAATGAGAAACTAAAATGAGTATGAAAACCTACTTCCACCAGGTGCATAACCTGTATGCTGTAGAATGCAGCTGAACAGTCAGGTAGTTACATATAATTTTAAACTAAAGTTACCATGAAGCAATGGAGTTGCCAGTAGTTGTTCCCCGTCTGCTAAAGGTTTAAAGGATTTTATGATTTTTGATAAAATGTGCTTGAAAGGATCTTTAAATGTCTCTATTTAAATGAAGTTATTTTATTTCCTGGGCTAAGAAATGCCTATGAAGATTTCTAAAAGACTTATGGAAATAGGCACGATGGAGAGATTTTTTTTCCATGCCTGAAAAATGTGACTCACTTTTATTATGCTCAAAAAAAATGATACCATCCTTAAAGGTGAGCAGCTTTTCATATGTGGAAGTGTAACATAATGCGATAATCAGTAAATTAAAACAAATTTTTAATCATCTGTGAAATTATTATCTAATAACAAGAAGCAGAAAAAATCTGGGGAGATTTAACATGGTATGTTTTGTCTTAATCATTTGACTTCATATGTGGATTTCAATGCATGGAATGAAAGAAATTTAGTCAGATCTCTTCATAAGTTCACAGGGTGCTGCTGAGCTTCGACATGAGGCCAGGTATGACTTGTTTGTATGAGGCATCGTGTGACCTGAATGATTTACTAAAATGTCTCTGATTGGGTACAAAATTGTTTTAATGTTTTGTCGTCACTTTTTTGGATTGCCTAAAATCAATGTCCTGCATATCCATTCCTGCCCTGCACGCATCAAACGAGAGAATTTTTCATGGTGCAAAAAACCATGCAAACCTGCTAAATACAGATTCTGCTGCACTTCAGCTTCTAGATTCACCTTAATTTGAGTTGCACACTGAGGCCAAATTAATTCCTAAAAAGCCATATATCTTCCTAAGAAGCTCAATTGGTGCGTTGTTCACATGTGAAACGTCTCCAGGAGAAAGCAGGGAACACGTACAGAGCAGGCCATGGAGGGAGGTGGAAGTAATAGGACCCGGTGCAAAGGGCACCCAAGTTGCTGCTGTGTATTAATATCAGGATCGCACCAGAGGGCATGTCCTGTGCCACCGAGAAGAAGGCTAAGCTGCTTGCCTGGTGCAAGCAGCAGCAGAGCAGAGGGTGAAGGGGAGACTATGGCAGCTCCTCTATTTAGCTGTTGGGAACTGTCTGGCCTTATGTGCTACCCAGATATGTGCATGTCCTGGACTGACCTCGCATCTCGTCTCTGAAAAGCTGTCCCTGTTGGGTGCTGACACCTCTGATGGCAAGAACGCAACACAGGACAAATGCAGCTGAGACAGAGGCTCCATAAGGAGCTGTAGGAGGCTCCCCTGTGGGCTGGTGCTGCGTCACTAGCTGATGTGGTGGTTCCTGAAGGGCTGGTGTCTGTGTCTTTCCCTGCAGCTAATATCCAAATGACAATGGACACTTTTTTTTTTCTTCCTTTCTTTTCAGGAAATATATGTTCTTGTGAGTAGGCAGTGCTAGGTGCTGTGAAGCAGCATGACATGAATGCAGATTTGTGGTGACAGCTGGGGTTGGTGCCTTCTCACACCCTCTGTCTCTGAGGCAGATCCACCAGGCTGCTGGATCCCGTGGATAGGGTCCCTCAGCAGAGGCATGGTACAGCACAGGGTGGGCAGGTGTGTCTGCAAGAACCAGCCCTGCACTGCCTCAGCACAGCTGGGGTAAATGCACCCAGGATTGGTCTAGGAATCTCATCCAGGTAGGGCCTATCCATGCAACTCCTCAAAAGTGAGGGGTCTGTACTCTCTGGATGAGGTCCCATCACCTCACAGATGCTGCCAGAGTCTGCTGAACCTCTCCCTCATTTTCTTTGCACACAGGAACATGCAAAATCCCCTCCCACTGGGACCCCAACCTGCAGTTTGCCCCTGAGAAGACCAGCTATGCCTTGAATGATGTGGTGCAGCTGAGCTGTACTGGGGGCTACCAGCCGTCAGTCCCTGCGCTCAAGTGCGTTTCCATCGGGAGCCAGACCTTGTGGAATGGGACTGCTATGTGTGAGGGTAAGCCAAATCTCTGGGATCCCAGGGCAGAAAAAGAGAAAGACAGAAAGACCCTCTCGGCCTTGGCCTGTGGTGGCCGGCTGTGACGTTGCCCAGCAGAGCGCCAGGCTTGCTGCAGGCCCCCGTTGCTGTTGTGTTTCCTGTGCACACTGTCAGAGGAGACCAGCCAGGACGCAGGAGACAACTTCCCCATAGGTGGACAGCATATGGGTATAGGCATGGGATCGCAGCTGCTGGCTGTCACTGTTACTGCCACTGTCCTTGTTTCCACATTGCTCAACCGTTCTTGAATCTGCGCCGCTGCTGAGGGACAGCAGTACCGGGGTCCAGCCCAAATGAGGGGAAACAGGGGACCGACTCTTCTCAGGGTGATTCTCTCTGGACTCTCCTGTGGGATGGACTAAGGGTATCCATGCACACAAGCCCTCCTGTGGAGGGCTAAGGGTGTCCATGCACACAAGGGCAGAGCACAGAAGGTCATGGGTGAGAGGTAAGCCCTGCTTCGTGTGCACAAGGAAAGCCACCTCCCAGTAGACCTTGTCACAAACAAAGGATGCGTTATGTTTACATCTCCCTTTGGGGGGTTGGACGTCATCATGGGTGAATCCTGAAACCTTCGGCATTTCCCCTGATCTACATGGTCATCCTACAGCCCTGACCAACATGCAGCTTTTTTTTTTCACCTCTGCCAGGAACATGCCAAAAGCCTCGGTGGGGTCAAAAAGTCCTTCTGGAACCAGATCACTCAACCTACAAAAAGAATGAAGAAGTCAGTCTGAGCTGCCCGCGGGGCCTCCTTCCGGAATTCTCCCTTGTCAAATGTTCAGAGACTGACCCAGCTGTGGGCTATACTAGATCTGTCAAAGACGTGTGGCTTGGTAGAAACACCACAGGTCACTGGATCCAAATTCAGAAACCCGTGAAGTGTGTCAGTAAGTGTGTCAGCAGGAGGTGCCTCCTCTGGAGGCCTCCGGTCCTCGGTTCCCTTCATTCCCCTCTAACCTTTCAACATCATCACTGTGCTTTGCATTTGCTGCCGGGTTGCGATTAGGGTTCCTCAGCAGGGCCCTCATCCTCAGAGGACCCTCATCCTCTCCCCTGCCCCACTTGTTCTATTTCCAGCCCTGACCAACATGCACTCTTGCGATTCTGCCAGGAGCATGCCAAAGGCCTCAGTGGGATCAAAGTCTCCAGCTGACACCGGACCATTCAATCTACAAAAAGAATGAATTTGTCAATCTGAGCTGCCCCTGGGGTCTCCTTCCAGACTTCTCCCAAGTTACATGTTCAGAAGCTGCCCAGTCCATGGGCTATCCTGGATCTACTAACAGATACACGTGGAAGGGGAAAACAAGGACTGGTGACTGGATCCAAATTCAGACAGCTGTGAGGTGCACTGGTAAGTGGGTGAGCAGGAGGTGCCTCCGCCAGAGCCCCATGGTCAACTCCTGCCTCCTTCATTCCTCTCTTAGCTTCCAACATCTATGTCCAGGTATTTGCTCCTGGGTTGTTATCTGGATCCCTCAGCTGCAACCTCATCCTCAGGAACACTCTCATCCTCTAGCCTGCCCCACCTGGTCATCCAGCAAACGTGAGCAACATGCACCCTCTTTTGATTCTCCTAGGAACATGCCAAAGACCTCAATGGGATCAAAGTCTCCAGCTGACACCAGACTATTTGTTCTACAAAAAGAATGAATTTGTCATTCTGAGCTGCCCCTGGGGTCTCCTTCCAGACTTCTCACAAGTTGTATGTTCAGAAGCTGCCCAGTCCATGGACTACCCTGGATCTACCAACAGATACATGTGGAAGGGGAAAACAAGGACTGGTGACTGGATCCAAATTCCGACAGCTGTGAGGTGCACTGGTAAGTGGGTGAGCAGGAGGCGCCTCCTCCAGAGCCCCATGGTCAACTCCTGCCCCCTTCATTCCTCTCTTAGCTTCCAACATCTATGTCCAGGCATTGGCTCCTGGGTTGTTGTCTGGATCCCTCAGCTGTGATATCATCCTCAGAGTGCTCTCATCCTCTCTCCTGCCCACCTGGTCATCCTGCAGCCCTCGCCAACATTCACCCTCTTTGATTCTCCCAGGAATGTGCCAAAGACCCCGATGGGATCAAAGTCTCCAGCTG